AGATTCAAGTGTACCTCTGGTCTGAGAAAGCTCAGGGCTTGAGCAGCATTTTATGGCTTTGGTCTTGACCCCTGGGCTATAAATGCTCCTGTAAAAGTAATGCCAAAGTTACAGCTTCTGCTAATTTCTATGAGTTCCAATGGAGAAAGGTCCACCTGGACTTTGGGGAGAGTTTCTCAGAGCAGAACATTTCAAGCACTATTAAACTGCATTCAAACTTCCTTTTATTGGGGCATAAATGTCACACCCCGGTCTATCAGTCTGACAGTTCTTCGAGAACAGACAAGCTTTACAAGCTACTTTAAAAATAATTTCACTGACAGGTTTGCAGCTCTGAGAATGCTAATAAACTGAAATGGCATTTCACCCTGCAGTAGCCACTAAGTAATTATGATTGTCTGTAGGCAGACTAATGAAACCAGCTGTTAACAACCTAATGAGAATTTAAACCATCCCTCTGCTCCACAGACACATCCCTTTTCTGTCCCTAATTATCCTGCACCCAGTGCTTCCCAGAGAAGTTTAGTGTTGCTTGATGTTCGGGTAAAAACTTCCTTATTTTGGAGAAGTGGTGCTGCTCTTCTCTGAGGTGGAGTTTCATGTGGGCTGCTGCCATGCTGGGGTCACATCAAAAAGTCCAGTTCTTGCAGGGGCTGGGGAGCAGGGAGAGCTCTGATAGCACAGCATGGGAAAACTGGCATGGAGGGATTCTGGTTTAGTGTGTCCCCCAGTGGCAGACAGCATTAGTTATTGATAAGTCTTTAGTTCAAAGATAAGATGTTGCTGTTTTGGCTCTAATTTTTGGCTGCTTTCAATACAGTTTCCCCTGGCAGTTAAGATACTGTTTTTCTCTTGCTATCAATCCTCTGTCGCTCCAGATGAACTTTAAAGGTCCCTTTCAAGCCAAACTATTCTGTAATTCTTTGGATACATGATGAATAGCAACATGTATTTTACTCTCATTATGCATGATATTACATCCTGTCTGGCCTTTTGGGGTTCTTTCTTCTCCAGGTCCTTGTGACTACTGTCACTTCTATATGCTCTTAATTTTTTCTGTTGCTCGTCAGTGAGCATTTTCAGTTCTGCCACCCATGTCTTGAGCAAGTTTTCTGTGACTCACTGCACCAGACACCAGGTCAGTCCAAAGAAGAGCATTAGGAAGTATCCAGCTGTATTTCCTCTTCCTTCTCTGTACATGCTGCTGTTTTGAGCACTCTGGCTTTCTGAGCTGCCTCACATGTCTTGATCCTTTTCTGGATAACTAGAGGGATATCAGGATTAAATGCTGCCTCAGCTCTGAGGTCTGGCTTTTGAAGAGCCCCAGTCATCCTCTCCTGCTCATCTCATCCCGGCCTTGATGGAAATATTCTGTCTTCATGGGATTGTTGTTCAACTCTGTGCATCCTGGAACTGCTTTTCAGTGAAAGTTTATGAGTCTTTGAAAGGTTTCCTGGTGTGGGAATGCCAATCCTCAATCCTAATGCTCGATGGGGGTTGCAGTTGCCTGAGTTGTGAAACCTCCTGAAAAACATTGTTTGTTCTTTTTTCCTTAACTTTTCCTTGACTGTTTTCATCAACAGATCAGGGAGTTTGGGGATGTCTTTTCAAAGGGAATTTTAATGAATCTCCTGTCTGGCATTTCAAAGGGGAACAGTGGCTTGTTTTTGTTAACCAGCACCTGCTTACAATCAAATTAGCCAACTGCCTTTAATTAATCATAATATATTCCAGGAGAGCAGAATAACAAGGGAAGAAAAATCAAGTGGTGACAACTCTGTGACTGAACCTGGACTTCCCCTTTCCCAGGTGCAGGATTCTGGGCAGCCGTGTAACCAATTGCTCTCCACCTTGAGCTCTGCCATGCAGTGCCTTGGGTTTCCTGGGAGGGAAAAACATCCAATCCCTCAGCTCCAGGTTCACACTTGTACAGTCACCTGCAAATCCAGAGGCCAATGGGTATTTCTGCCTGTGGTTCGTGTGCCTGGGATTTGCACACTGGAGCTTTGATTTTGAAAGTTTGGGCAGCCTGGCTGCTCAGGGAGGGATCCCTCTGGCTGGAAGGTCTCTGAACTCTCTCCTCCGTGTGAGGGGCTTGAATCTTGTTCTTTCCTTACCTCCTTATCTGCAGGTTTCTTGGTGGAGGCTTTTGCATGGAGACAGGAGAGTATGGCAGGAATGCTGGAATTAAACAGTTATGTCCAGGGTCTGGTTTTGGGTAGTTGATTGATCCTGTAGGTGCTGACCCTTAAAATTCTTTAAACTCCACATCATCTTCTCTTACCAGTATGGGACTGAGACAACACTGAGCTTCTGGGCTTTTCCTGGGTTAGCAGAACAAACTATTGCACTTCTAACCTGTGCACATCAGCACTAACCCGAGGCTTCACCCCACTCATTACAAACATGAGGGGGTAGTTGCTTATACTGTTCAAAGAATTGGATGCCTCATAGGATTCTGGTTGTGAGCTTTTCTCAAAAGCATGGTGAGATGAGGTGTGCAGGACTCATTTCTTCAGAAGGGCAGGAGAAACCACTGAAGGCCTCCTTAGCCAGCAGTCTGACACAGATTTGCTTCTGAAGCTTTGTAATTTGTCCTTATTATGTTCTGTGTGTGATTTAATGAAAGCTTCGTTCTCTACTGTAATTGAGCTCTTAATCTCATCTGAAAAGCAGAGCACAATCCCTTCAGAGATGCTGTTTGAGGAACAGCCTGTTTGTGTTTCCTCTGCCGTGGTGTTACTCATGGAACTGCTCACTCCTTATTTAAGGGCAGAAAATAAACAGATTTCTCTGAGTCAAAAATACATCGGTTATGCCACACAGAGTAGGTTTGAACAGAAAACTCCTCCACTGCTCGACTGAGCAAGCAAGATCTTCCCTGTCTCTGCAAAGAATATGAAGGAGTGAGTTTTCCTCAGTGAGCTCCTGAGGCCTCATGCAGGTGATGCCCAGCAAATGGCGCATGGGCATGGCAGCTGTCAGCAAAACAAGTGGCTCTGGGCAGGTAAAAGTTGGCAGGACATAAGAGTGGAAAGTCAAAATAACAGGTTGCTGAAAATCTTGTAAGAGGAATAATGACATTGGTGAAATTCCCTCCATCTTAAAGCTTCAAAAAGCATTCTTACAAAAATCCACAAAAAAGTCCCGATTTTGATCAGTCTGATCTTCCTAAATAGCATTTTACAATCAGAATTAGGAGTTGACAGATACTATGAAGGCTCAGCAGAGATTTTTCATTGTGACCTTAGTACATATTTTTACTGTGCTGTGGTTTGGAAGGAGGCCCCAAGCTCCAGCTCCAGCCTTGGGAGACCCTGTTGACCTAAACACTCCCCAGAGCTGCTGTGGGACTGACCCAGAACCAGAATCTGTAGGGAACTGGGTAAAACACTTCCCACTAGAAAGCACTTGAAGCTTGATGGTGATGCACAGTTCCCAGCTCAGACCACAGGCAGTGCCAGTAGTGACCAGTTTGTGCCTGCTCTGCACAGAACTGACGGCTGTGAGTGGGAGAGCTGTGGGATGAAGAGGCTGATGACTTTTGGGGCACACAGAACCTTCCATCTCTACTGCTTTATCCACACTAGAGAGTGGAATTTCCTAGAGAAATACCTGGAGAGTGGGAAGGATGAAGAGCAAAACTTATCTTGTAGGAGTCCTTGCTGTCAATCCACAGGGATTCCAGGCTGAGATCAGCCCAGCCCTGTCATTTGCCAGGGGAGTGAGGACCAGATTCTGCACCACACTTCCAGAGCTGGGGGCAAGTGGGTTGAATCACATCCAGAGACAGGATGAGGAATGGCTTGTGTTTTTTCTTGCCGTGCACAGCAGATATCCTAATTTAAAGCTGTGCTGTCTTCCCAGATTCTGCTTCTTCCTCTGGGAAGACCCATTCATTTTGACCCTGTTCCTTCCACCCATCCCAGTATAGATTTCCAGTGCTGGAGTAATTGGCACTAATGGATGAACCTTCGATGTGATGAGCAGTGGATTTTTGTAGACAACATGCCAAATAAAAGTGCCACAAATAAAAGATCAATGACTTCTTTCCTGGAGAAGAAATTAAGGTAAAATCTTTTCATGTTATAGACTGAGTGTACAAAGCTAAAGAGGTAGAAGATAGAAATGAGACTGTCTCCTGAGAGGAGTAAATTTGTCAATTTAGCAAATTAGAGAGAATATGCTTTCACCTTGGAATTAGTCAGGTACCAAAATGATGCCACTTTGAGTAGGCAGGGCTGGGATGGGAATTGCTCCTGTGGGCTTTGACAGATCTATTCACACAAGGGCCCATTTGCTGGTGCCAGCCCTGGAAGCAGGGCCTGGAGAGACAGCTGGTCAAGGACAATTTCTCTGCCTGATTTTACAGCACGTTTGACAGAGCTTTCCATTCTCTTTGCACCCTGTGGATGGTGTCCTGGATGAGCCTGCCCTGCCACACGCTGCCTGTGTGGTGGCACTGAGGTGGCTTTCATGAGGCACCCGGGCCTGCAAGGGCCCTGTGTCCTCAGCCAAAGCTGTGGCAGGTCAGAGGGAATTTAATGAGTTATTCAGCAGCATCAAAGGCCCTGTGAGAAGTAATTAGTGCTGTGAGATGAAATCAGAGCATTTAATGCTTTTTGCATAGGATCGGGTGCTGCTGCAGAAACTCCCACCCAGAGTGTGGCAGCCCAAGGCCTCAGGGAGAGGGATGAGGCCTGACCCAGCTTTTTGTCCAAAATCAGCCCAAAACACATTCCCTCCTAATGCAAGTAACTTCTTTTTGGTGCCTTCTGCCAGAAACAGGGCAAAAATTGGGAGAGGGGGAACACCAGCCCTGAAATGCTGAGGAAAAAGAGCTCTGTTCCTCAGGGCTGCTGTGGAGGGGGTCAGAGGCAGCGTGTGCCAACGGGTGAGTCCCTTCTGCATCTGCTAACGTGCTCCTGATTTTATTTAATTAATTAGCAGCAGGGGGATGTTGAGGATTTGGTTCAGGAATGGTTAGTAGAAAAGGGACATAGCAAGATCAATTTATTGGAGCTGCAGACTCTGCAAATGAGAGACTTTGAAGACTAAGCAGTAGCAGCTTACTTGAACAAAGGCAGTCTTCTGCTAAAACAAAGGCAGCCTTCTGATAGAACAAAGACAGCTTCAAAAGCAGGGTACCCTTGAGATAAGGAAGCCTGGATGGAACTGGTATGAAACTGGTAACTGCACGTAGAAGCAGAGACTTTGCATTACACGATACTCACAAAAATGTAGAAGTAGATACATAAAATCCTGTTGATGTAAGAATGAATAAACCAATAAGGAGCTTGGCTTTTGCAATATGCATGAAGTAATTAAGAACTGTACTTAAGCAGCTGATGTATACCAAATAAACTGAGTTTGCAGATGATCAATCAATGTCTGCTTCTCCCTTCTCCGACAAAATAGTAACCCCGATGTGCGGACCGACGTGCGCTCCCTGACGAAAACGGGGGAGACTGGACGTGCCATCAGCCGGAGAAGTAAAGTTGGACTCTGTTGCGGCAGCGGAGTGGTGCATGCGAAGAATTTACAGCAAAAACACACCCCCAGTGTTCATACAGGTGGAGCTGGGCCATACGTGCTGCCAGACCTAGAGTGCCGCAACAGCGCACTGACTTTTAATCATAGACAAGCAAGCAGCATATGATTTATTTATTTCTAGTTTAAAAAAAAGGGGAATTAAGGGAGTAGATTTAAGAAAAGAGTTACCGGGGTTATTAGATTAGAGATATACTAAGAGAGTATTTAGTAATCCGCATGCAGTGCATCAAGTTAGTGAATGGCGTAAGTTAAGAGATATTTTATGAGAAGCAGTGTTAAAGGATGATAAAACAGCTAAAAAGTTAAGAAAAGTGTGGCGCATTGTACAGAATGCTTTGTTGCAGCAATTAGCAGAAAAAAAGGGCGCCTGAGGAGGTAATCGCAGCTGCCAAAACAAATACGCTTTATAGTCAGGAGCATGAGCCATTAGCACCTAGTGTATCTACAATTGTATTGCCTGCCCCCGGGCTGGCCGCTAGCCCAGTCGCAGCTGCAGTTCAAAATAGTTTAGAACTCTCTGCACCTCCTACGCCTCCTTTAAAGAAAACGGAGAGTAAAATACAAGTGCTACCTAAGCCACAGTTTAATGAGTCCCCTTCATCTCCTTCTAATGTGCAGTCAATTAGCAGGCAACCTCCTGCGCCTAATCTTGTCCCTGGGGGACAAAGTGACTTGGGGGAGATGGTGAAACTAAAGAGGAATGCTTAAAGAAAACTTGCAAAGTACAGACTAGAGAATGGGGATAATGTTTTAGTAGAAGCGGCTGGTAGTAGTTTAGCTTTTCCTGTTACCTATTCTCCAGTAATGGATCAAAATGGACAAGTAATAAATCAGTTAAGCACTTATACACCTTTAGATTGAAAGTTACTGGCACAATTGAGACAGACAGTAGCACAATTTGGCCCGAAAAGTGAGCCAGCTAAGCAGATGATTGACTACATTTTTGATACTATACTTTTAATACCTAATGACATGCGAGGGATTGTCAAATTAATCTTTACTCAACATCAGCAATTGTTATTTAATGCGCACTGGCAGGCAGCTGTACAAGAGTCAGTGTCTGTCCAGCGGCAACCTGGGGATCCACTACATGGGATCACCCTGGAAGAGATAATGAGATTAAAGTTATATCTCCAAACTAATGCACAAATGACAATAGGAGCAGATAAGGTGAGAGAAGCGATGAGGTTAGTGAGAACGGCTATAGACAGAGTAAAGGATGGTACAGGTGTTCCAATGTACATGGGAATTAAACAGGGCAGAGAGGAATCGTTTGGGAGCTTTATTGACAAAGCCGCGGCAGCAATAGAAAGGGCTGGAGTACCGGAGTACATGAAAGGAGCTTTGTTAAAACAATGCGCATTGCAAAACAGTAATGAAGAAACAAAGAGAGTATTAGCTACCTTGGGGGCTAATTGGACAATAGAAGAGGCATTAGAGCGAATGGCATTACAACCTACAGGACAGCAGGCATTTTCAGTGAATGCTATAAAGGAATTAGGAGTAGGGCTGCAGAAACAGGCAGAATCCACTCAGAATCAAGTGTTAGCTGCTCTTGCGCCACTCCGTACGTCCACCATAGTGCCTGCTGCCGCTAATGACAGTCTGCTTTAATCTTTTAAATGTTTTCAATGTAGAAAAGTTGGTCATATGCGAAGGAACTGCCGAGCCACTGGAATTTAGTGTCAAAAGTGTCAATCCGGCAATCATAATACCTCAGCTTGTAGACGGCGATCGGGAAACGGACCGAGGAGCGCGATCAGCAGCCGCGCCCCGATACAAATTGCTGCTGCAACATCGGCACCGGGACTTTACAAACAGCCACCACAGGAATCGGGACTTTACAACCAGCCACCGCAGGCACCGGGACTTTACAAACTGCCACCGCAGGGAGCCTGGGACTCGACCTGGCAGCAACAGTAAATGTCACTCTCATGACCACCCGTCCTGAGAAAATTCCGACTGGCATCAAAGGACCACTTAAAATAAATGGACAAAAATATGGAGCACTAGTCCTAGGACGTTCGTCAGTAACCATCATGGGACTTTTTATATTACCAGGAGTTATCGATGCAGATTACAATGGGGAAATACAAGTGATGGCACATACACCTTTTCCACCTTTAAGTATCCAGAAAGGGCAGCGAATTGCACAATTAATTCCTCTGCCGCAGATGACAAAAGGCATCAGCCCGAGGAACAATCAACAACGGGGAGATAAAGGTTTTAGCTCTTCTGGTATTGTTGTTATGAACGAGCACAATAGGCTTTCCAATCCAATTAAAAAGATTTATTAATGGTAGGAAACGAAAGCAAATCAGCGCTGGGCGGCAGTCATTCCAACTACCGCACTTCGTCCCCCGTTCCCCCCCAACTTATTGGGTCTTCTCCTCCGGATGTGTGACGTTCTGGTGTCTTTTCTGCGCAGGTGCACCTTGTTGCTAGGTGGTCGTTTTCTGCCTCTTGGTGGTCGTGGGATGAAGGCCAGTAGTCTTCCTCAGGCTTGTTTCTGTGATCTGGGAATTCTCTCAAAACAAGAAATGTTATCTCTAGGCACGTTTACTTGCATTCCACAAGAGTACATGTTTTGCTAAGTCTGTAACGGAACTGTCCTTGAAAGATATTCGCTTAGGTGCTTAGGTGCCTAGCAACATCAACTCCCTAAATCAGTTTCAACTCCCTAAAACAGTTTGTAACGGAATTGTCCTTGAGAGATACCCACTGGAATGCCTGGCAAAATGAGAACATATTCAGACAAGTGAAAACTCTAAGTGAAGATTCTATTTTATAGATGTGAAAACTCTATATTATGAACAAAAAGGCCTTATTTTCCTAACAATATCCCCCCTTTTTATTTTAACCCTCTTTTTGTTCACTAAAGCGCTCTAATTCCCTTTTGCTCAATTCTAAATAATCTTCAGTTTCTACTCCGCTAAGTGGCTCGTACTTTGATCTTACCATCATTAAATGTGCAGCTTCTAACCTATTCTTCACTATTGTAATAAGCTTGTTAAGAATACATGGCCCAAAAGTAAGTACTAGAATTAGTAAAATTACTGGTCCTGCAAGGGTGGATAATAGAGTGGTTAGCCAGGGAGTATAGGTGAGCCAGGATTCATACCAACTCTGCTGGAACTTTCCCTACACACCTTCCTTGTCCACTAACCTGGGACAGTGTAATGCCTGAAACACTATCTCCTCCCTTTCTCCAGAGACACTCCTTTGGATTTGTACCATTTATTTCTCTTGCCTCAGATGTAATCCCAATGGCTTCATAAAAGGGTGGATTTATCATATAGCAAAGCCAACACCCCTTGGTTAAGTTAGGATAAGTATGATTCAAAACTCCAAAAGTAGCTTGCATAATTTTCTATAAGGTTGTATACTTCTGCACTAATAGTTGAGGTTCTTGATTACTTTTGTTTGATTTTATAACATTATCTCTGGTTTTATTATTCTCTTTTAAGTCATTGCTTATTACTGGATTTGGGCCTATAGGACTAGGGTCATGTGGAGCTACCTCCTTTTTTATTTGTATCAGATTTCCTGGATCATGTCCTTCTATCCAATGCCTAACCCCCCATGTTTTGCCTATTAACCATCCAGAATCACTTGGTTGAGTGACATTTAGGTAAAGAAAGGTGCAGTTTCCAAGTAAGTTTTTCCCAGTCCAAGGCCACTCTTGTGGTCGTTTACACCCTGCTGGTCCATGCCCTACCTTTAAATATTTGTCTAATCCTCCACCCGGAGCCCACGCTGATGCTATTGTTTTACAGCTCCAATAGGCGCAGTAATAATGTCCAGGGTAATTACAGTATTGCTTCCCTGGGTTCGAGGCAGGGCACATATAGAAGCTTGTTAAATTTAACAGCTGCCCACATTTTGAACTTCGAGTTAAATCACAAATCCCAATCTTAAAGCTCGGTGCTCCAGGTCCCGTTATTGTCTGTAAAATATGACGGGTATCGTGATCCTCCCATCTGCTTAAGGTCCATTTAAAGAGTTCATGTATATTAACTGTGGCACTCTGGAGGGGAAGCCATACAAACATAAAAACCCGTAGGATTGAGTGATACGCACTGCAGGAGAGGATGTTACTTATCATGCTCAGTTTTACATTCCCATTTTCCCTCATTCCGTTGTCACCATTCTCATACCCATGATGATTTATATTCTTTTTCAAGGTTTGGGAGGGCCTCTCAACCCCACTACCTACCTCTCTGTCTCGCCTGTCAACTTGGTTGCTACAAGTTACAGGGTAAGCCATCTTCTCGACAGCAGAGATATTCTTCAGGGGTGGGATCGTTCCCTCTCTCCCACTTTGACCTCCGGGAGTTCCAGTTTTTCGCATTCAACTGTGGGGTGTCGCACCTGAGCCTTTTGACTAATTTGCGACACTTGACCTGGACTATATCCGTGAGGAATGGACCCAGGGGTTCATTGGAATGGTAACAGTGGAATTCAGGGTTTATTCCTTTTACGAAAATCTCCCACCACTCAGGGGATCCTTTAGTCAATTCCCGAGTGGCAACCTTGTAATTTAGTACTTCAGAGGTCAATCTGCGCTGCTCCAGCCAGCAGCGTTGACATACACTTTTGGGAGCTCTCCCCTTTCTGCAGTGAGCCCACCACAATCCTTTACAGATTTTGCAGGAAAAACAGGCAAAAGGGTAACAATGACAATCTAACCAGCTACACTTTACTCTAATACTTTGATGTTCAGCATGGCCCTCCCCCTCCCAAGGTTTCTGCTCTTTTTCAAGTCGGATGAACCGATAAAAGGGCTGCTGGGCTGAATCCTCTAGACGTTTACAGTATCCTGGGGGTTTTGTTTCTCCCACCAGTTGTACTT